TAAATTAAAGTTTCAATTTTAAATTACATCATTTTATTTAATAAAAATTTATTTTATTAAATGTTGATATTTAGATTTAAAAATTAATTATATTATAATATAATCTATGTATCAACATTAAATAAAATGGACTTTTAAATTCTGAATTAGGATTTTAATTTTCAAATATTTATTAGGACTTCAATTTTTTTTAAAAGTCGAAACTGATAGCATTTACCTCATATATATATATATATATAACATTTGTTGAATTCATTATATTGGAAAATTAATTAGTAATCTAATAATATCTTCAAATAAAGCCAATATTAATTACAAGACATGAGAAACCATCTTTACCTAGAAAGGAGCAAGCTATATATAACCCTTCCATAACAATTAATTTTACCGCTTTTATTGTTCAAGGCACAAAGTGGTGTTATCAATTAGTAGAAGTCTACCATTTTCCATTTCTCTTCATCTAAAAAAAATATGTATCATTTGTCAATTAAATAAAAAATCTAGCATTAGTAAAAACAAAAAACCTAGCATTTGATTGGCCCAGCCACAAATAAATATGTGTAGTGGAGCTCTTGTAAAAGAATTTGATAAATGAGAGTTTTATTTTTATTTTTATTTTTCTAGTATATGAAACAGTCTATATCAATTATGATTCAAATTTTGTTTTTGGAGTCACATATATATCACGACACATTCCCTCAACTATTTTAATTTTAATTAAAATTGGGAGTTTTATGTCAATTCATTGACAAGTATGTTTAACTCCTGTCATCATAACACCCATACTTTGATTTGAATTGTTGAGGAGTGCCATGTTATTTGAAATTAAAAAATATATATATATTTATAAGTCAAAATTAATACACATTATTTTCATTATATATAGCACACTTCATCAAAACTTCATGGTTAGATTTATGAGAAAGTTAGATTTAGAGAAAATATTATTTTTTTAAGGACAATGATTGGTGCACACCCGAGTATGTACCCCCCACATAAAAAACAAATTGAATCGGGTGATGGGCATTTTTTTTTATATGATGTGTGCACATACATCCGGGTGTTGGATCCGAGTGTGCACACATCATTTTCCTTTTTTTAAATGTATTACCGTAATTGTAAAAGCCCAACCTATTAATGATATATTCATTTTGACCTATATTAAGTCTTACAATTGTAAAACACATCTACTTGGTTTAGGGGTGTTATCCCATTTATAAACTATTTAAGATTTTGGTTTTGGAGCGAGGGTTGTTACACTCTAATGACGTTTGATGTTCTTATCAATTTACCTCATTATAGTTTAAGAGGACACACAAAGTATGCCTCATAAGTTATGTAATGACTCAATTTACTAGTAATATTATATGCTTTGATTCATTAAATTTTACAATTTTAAAACTATTCACTTAATTAGTTTAAGGTTGTTATTACTTATAAAACATATCAAGATCCCATTTTTAAATGATATGCGGAATCTTAGTTTTATAAGGAGGATTGTTACACCAATGTAAGAAGTACTCTTAGAGATCTTACAAGAAAAAGATTAATTTCAAAATAGCCATTAGTTGACCGAAAACTCCCATACCATGGAACATAAAGGATATGTAGGATTTCATCATCATAGCTGAAAATGCATAAATTCATTTCTGTGTTCTACTTCAACTAATCGTACTTTGGAACTTTTCCTTAATGGATTCTATTTTTTATTTTTTTCTCATTGTCCTTGTAGACAAAAGACCAAAATTCATGCTCCCTTTAATTTCCTTTCTTTTCTTTTTCTAGTTCTTTGGATTACAACACACGAAGGGATTGCCGGATTGGGTCTCTGTAGTGAGGGGGTAGTTAATCATTCTTCGTTTTGAACCAAACCGAATTATTAGTTCAGAAATTCAATTTGGTTAATACCGTTAATTGAAAATATTAATAAATTTATCAGTTTTGGTGAGTGAATTAGCAAATTTTATATGTACAGTATTTTTAAAAAAATTATAGGTTAAATTATAACTTTGAATCAATTTTTTTCTAACCGAAGATAGCCAAATCAAGTAAACCGAACTTTAATTTTGAGAGGAAAGCACCCACCCTATCCCATATATACCATAGATGGGTTGAATCAGTGTATTAAATTTATAATAAAAAGATAACCATTTTGATCTCCTTGATTCATAAAAATCATTTTTACAGAGACATGACAGGAATCTGGGAGACAAACCGCCACCTTATTATTTTCCTCCACTTGAGATATATATATAATCATCCATTTTCCTTGAGCCTATCCACTATCCATTGACCTTCCCATAAGCTGCATTCCACCAACTCTCTTTATTTTATTTCTTTTTTTTTTTTTTCAAAACTAAAAGTCAATTTAAATTAGCAATTGACTCACTATAATGGTTGGTTTAGTTTTAGTCCAAAACTTAGAAAATTTCCCCGAATATACTGTTGTTGAGAGATTAACCCCCTTTTTTTTTAAATTAATAGTTAGATCTATAATAAAAGATAATCATTTATTTTTTTTAATTTTCTTTTCATCCATTACAAAATTCAGACATGATGAAATAACGTTGACATAACGGCCTCAAACTTTTAACTTGAGCAATGAGAGAAAGGAGTTAATAACTGAAGAATCTTTAGTTGATATAATGGAACAAATAATTAAGAGAAAGATAAGGTATAGATGATGCCTGCAACCAGTCTAGCAATGCTAATACAACCCACCCAGAGCATATCTTAGCTGGGAGTGGGAGCTGGTATAGGAGGCCGGCATGCTTTTCAGCCAAGGGATCCTTTAATTATTCTTCTAAAGAACCCTAATTCCTTCTATTTTGAACCCTAATTCCTTCTATTTTGAACCCTAATCCCTTCTAGATTAGATCTAAAAGAGCTGGAACTTCAATTCAGTGAATGAATGGGATAAATATATATTTAAAAAAGCAGACTACTTTAAGCATAATTGCATATGACTAAATGAGCTTGTCCAAAGCTTATTCAATCATTATCACTATTTTATATGTTATACTAATAATTAATTTAAAGATCCAATTCCCATATGCCTCCATTTAATAAAAAGATTTATTAAAATTTTTCTCTGCTGAATTTCTAGCCTTTTCTTAAGAAAAGGAAAGGAAAATGCAGTTGAGTATGACTGAGAAATTACAGCCGACTAATTAAAATAATGTTTGAATTGGTAGAATGAGAAGAGGTCTCCGTATAGCAAATGCGGTTGGAACTGATTGTTTATTAAAGCAAAAGGAAAAAGTGGATTAGTTTGAGGATGAATTCAAAGTTTCTATTTAACGAGGGGTTATTTCCAAGTAAAGTAGAGAATTTTGCTTCAATTTAATAAAAATTATAAATTTTTCATAATAAAAATTATTGTCTGAGTTAATTTGATGGGTGTAAGGTCTGCTTACCATCTATCAACAAATACTTGATTTTAGGTTAACTTCAATTAAATTTTCAAGAATTCTATTTTCGTAACTTCTATTTTTGAGATAAATTTTTTTAAAAAAATTTAATATGAGACGCATTAGCTGACTTTAATATCATTTAAGGAAGAAACCACGAAAGAAAAAGAAGTGGTCATGAATTTGTAAGGCTATAACGTAATTGCATGTGCACCTAATGAAAGTCTATGCATCTAACTAATTGGGATGAATGGCTGAACAAGCAATACCTTCTGTCTTTCACACATCTTCCTAACCTTTTTCTCTTTTGTTTTTAATATTAAGAGTTGGAAGCAAAAGTTATTTTTGTAATAAAGACCAAGAAAAACAAAAAAAAGAAACTATTTTTGTAGTAATCATCTTATCTGTTTAAACATTTTTGCTATGATCCACAACATTAATGTGTTTCTCCTATTTCATCTACCCACTTTCAAGAATCTTTAAATTTGCCATCCAAGATCTTAAGCATCTTGTTTGAAGAAAACGGTTAATCCCTTGCCTCTACATAAAGCAACATGGCCTCTTTTATCAGTTTTAAAAGCTACTACCATGTAGTATACCTTTTTTTTTTTCAATTTGGTCCATTATATATTTTTGCTTTGATTAAATTTATTCCTAAATTTGGAAGATAGGCGTGCACATGATGAATTGAACTTATATCATTCTTCTTTTAAAAGCAAGTAGTAGAGTTTCTCACCTGCCATGTTGCCTTGTAATGTCTATTCTCCATTTGTTTAGAAGGAAAAAAAGAGGGGTTATTATTTCTACCTACCTTCTATAATTTCAAGAACATTAATACTTGTTGATTCTATGGTAAAAATAATAAGATTCATGTTTTTCTTTTTGGATGGTATTTTTAAAGTGCAGTTTGTATATTAAAATTATTAAATTATTATTAATAAAATAACATAGAGAAAATATTTATTAAGCGTATTTTAGTAAATTAAACTAAAAAAAAAAAACCTTTTTCCAAAAATGAGGAAGGGCAAATTGCAAAAAGCTTTTTACTCAACGGGGAAAACATGAAAATGAAATACACAAAAAATAGCGGAGAAATATGAAAACAAGCAAAAGGATAAAAATTTGTCAAAAATAGGGAAAATATTATTTAAAAAATAAATTAAACTGGACAGATTTGGAAAGTCGCCATCTTCCTTGATGGTCTGCTTTGTAACTTTCTTACACGAGAGGATAGCTAGAAACCCAGCCAACCCTCCTTCTTTCTCTCTCTTCTTCTATATAGGGAGTAGTAGTATATATAAATACAAAAAATACAAATTTTTTATATCCATTTTTATTCTCAAACCATTTTCTCTCACACATCCTCTGCCTTTCTGTTTGATACACAAAATCCATTCATTTCCACGTATAAAAGCTTATATATAAATTTATATATCCCATTGATATCAACAGTAACTGGAAAAAACATAGAAAGAGAGAGGAAAAAGAGGGCCTCTAAGCCCTCTCTTTTGTTATTATGCTTCCGGTCAGATCTTAGGCTCCTCAGTTTCCCATCTGGGTTCTTTTTGTTTGATGTAATTCTCTCGAAAAGTTTTGATTTTTTCGCATCATTTGCCATGAATCATTCGTGGGTATTGGATCTTTTCGTCAAATTTTGATCCTTTTTATTGTTTTCAGGAATCCTGGATTGTGGGTCGATTGGTAATTCATCGGTGATCGGTTCTCGTGCGTTTGGATTAAATCCAAGATTACCCAGTTGAAGCGTGTTGATAAAAATTCAAACTTTGATTGATTTCTTTTTCTTGACGAGGTACAACTCTGTTTGTTCAATCCACATTACGGTGTTTTATGTTGGATTGTTTTTTAATACATGATGTTGAATTCTCTTTTATCTTAAAAACTAAGAAACAATTGTCCAAAATTGTATCTTGTTGATATTTGCGTTTAAATTACCTGAACTTCTTAGATCCGATGTGTGCTTTATTTATTTGTTGAATTTGATTTTATCGGTTTAGGATAAGAATTGAGAGGTGATCATACGTATTCTGATTTTAATTGTTTGGGATTCTGATGTTAGAATGGAAATGGAGCTTGGGAAGCTATTCATCGGTGGGATTTCTTGGGACACAAACGAGGACCGTCTTAGAGAGTATTTCCAGACTTTTGGGGAAGTTTTGGAAGCTGTGGTAATGAAGGATCGTGCCACCGGTCGTGCCCGTGGGTTTGGTTTTGTTGTTTTTGCTGACCCGGCTGTTGCAGAAAGAGTTGTTCTGGAAAAGCACTTGATAGATGGTAAAACTGTAAGTTTCTACTTTTGAATTCTTTTATAACATTTTGAATCTAGAACGATACTATTGTTTTTGGAATGCTTTTTACCACATCATCTTACCATTCAAATGATAATAATACTAGAAAAGAAAATACTTGATGTTCCCCTATGAATTTCATTTTTGTAAAACATGGCACCTTTATTATCTATTTTCAGGTTATGTTGTAGATTGTAAGGTTTCTATGGTGAGATATCTTTATTGAGTAAGCACTACTCAAGTTAAGACTGAAACAAGCTAATTGCTTTTAGAAGAAAGAGGGACGAAGATTCCTAGAAAATTTCAATATCAAAGTGCTAGATTAGGCAGCCTTAAGCACCAACCAAAACATCACTTTCAGAGGCAATCCATTTATGAGGCAGACTGGCAACTGGGGAAAGGCATTGATAGAGATTAGTTACTTTTATTGAGATGGATTGGAATCTGAAGAAATGCAAAATTACAATATTTTTAATAAAGCAATGACAGTGATCTTATATATATATATATATAAAATGCCTCAGTAGCATTTCAGTTGTACTTGCAAGGATATCATATGCATCCAGGGAATGGAAGACTTATTAGATTTAGATGATGTTTATCTGCATTAGCATTCAAAGAATTCATAGACTTGATGTGCTTGAATTTATGTTTTAAACAGGGACTTGTGTTGAACCTGTTTTCTGATTGTTGTGCCCCCCCTCTTTTTTTTTGGCAGGTTGAGGCAAAGAAAGCAGTTCCTAGGGATGATCAGAACATTCTGAATAAAAACAATAGCAGCATTCATGGGTCATCCAGTCCTGCCCGTGCAAAAAAGATATTTGTAGGAGGTTTAGCATCCACAGTAACAGAGAGTAATTTTAAGAATTACTTTGATCAGTTTGGTACAATTACAGACGTTGTTGTGATGTATGATCACAACACTCAGAGGCCACGAGGTTTTGGATTCATAACTTATGATTCGGAAGAAGCAGTTGATAAAGTCTTGCAGAAAACATTTCATGAACTCAATGGAAAAATGGTTGAGGTCAAGCGGGCTGTTCCCAAAGAATTATCTCCAGGGCCAAATCGAAACCAGCTAGGTGGATATAACTATGGTCTCAGTAGATTCAGTAGCTTCCTTAATGGTTATATACAGGGATACAATCCTAGTCTGCTTGGAGGTTACGGAGTTAGAATGGATGGTAGATATAGTCCAGTTAGTGTTGGTCGGAGTGGATTTCCTTCACTCAGTCCTGGTTATGGAATGGGACTGAATTTTGAGTCAAATTTGAGCCCAAGCTATGGAGGAAGTGCAAACCTTAGTACTAGCATTGGCTATGGACAAGGATTGAACACTTCATACAACAATGGAAACTCAAACAGGTATGGTGGCTCCTTTGGTTCTGGTGGGGGCCCTGGGGCAAATAGTTCTATCTTAAGCTCAAATGGTCGAAATTTGTGGGGGAATAGTGGTCTTAATTATGCTGCCAACTCAATGAACTCTGGCACCCTTGTGGGCTCTGGAAGTGGGAATTCAGGGATGGGTTCCTTCGGCAGCTTTGGATCACTCTGGGCTTCATCTCCACCTTCTGGTCAAGGTGGAGGTGCTGCTTCTGCCTATGGTAGCAGCAATCTTGGCTTTGTGAATGGAGATTTTGGAGTAGGGTATGGAAGAAACAATAGGACCAGCATTGTCCAAGCACCGTCACGTAGTGCATCAAATGGCAGTTATGATGGATCTTATGGAGACATTTATGAAAATGGCTCATTCTATGGAGACACCACATGGCGGTCTTCAACTTCAGACCTAGAGCACTCTGGCTCTTTTGATATTGGTCTTGAAAAAGCAGATTCAGATGTTTTGACCACAAATTCAGCTGGTTATATTGGAAGTTATACCATTACTAATAGACAGCCAAATAGAGGTAAGTAATTCATTTTGTTCTTATTCCACATATATTGTTCCTGTTGCCTTTCTCTGTTTGTTTGAGGGTTTTATTTTATTTTTTTTAATGTAAATCAGGCTAGTTTGCTTTCTTGGTAATTTGAATGGAGCATGATAGAACAATAAACAAGTCATGCAGAATACCTAATACCATTAGCTTCTTAACAAATCTAGTTGTTCGTTTTACAACACATACTACTTATTAAACAGACACTTCTTTTTGTATTGTCTTCCATTCATTTGTGTATTTCCCATCTCATATATTGGAGAAATAACAATCTGACGTCTAGACTTGACATTGATGTCTCTAGGTCTTCAATCCTTGTTGTTTTTGTTACTAAGATCTCTCATTGTTGTCCATAGACTTGATGTCAATGTCTATATCATTATCATAGTGTAAATGTGATTAATTATGTATGTTTCTTTCTGATAGTTATATTCTGTAGATACTTCTTATGTTCAGGAATTGCTGCATAGGAGGAGGGTATGGATGTCTGAAGGATAACAGTAGGAGATACTTCTGGTGAAGTGCATAAATGACTAGATTACGTACATTTTTCTTGTTGAGATGTTCAAGTTTCAGTGAAAATATGAGTAGAGCTAATTGGTTTGCCTGTTTTGAGGAACTTATTATAGAGAGCAGGTACAGGGAATTCATTGTTTGAGCTTGAAGTTTTTCCAATTACAGGTTTTCTTTATTGGGATTTGATTAAGATGTAAAATCAGGTTGCAGGGTATACGCAGAATCATTGTATCATGCATCTCTCTCAGCCACAAAGCCATAAATGATATAGGAACATACCTCCTTTAGTCGTTCCATTTTCTGCTGTAATGTCCAGTAAAGTTGCTGGTTCTGTATTTTGTAGATTGTATTGAGATATTTGGTTTGGATTTCACTGTGTGAAACTCTACGGGGTCCTCATCTGGCCTCCTATAGAATAAGATTTTGCATAGTAAAGTTTAAATATTACATTTTTCTTGTGAAAGTCTGAAACTTTTCTTTTCTGCCTTCCATTTCTGTTCTCTGATTTTCTTGAAATAAATTTTGAGATAGCTCGATGTTGGACCTGCAAAAGATTAGTGAACTTTCTTTTGCTATCTCATTGAATTCATTTCCAAGTGCAATTCATCTTTACCTTCTCAAATTTGTGGTCATCTTCATCTCTTATCCTAACCAACTCCCATTACTAGATTGGCATTGTATGAAGAGCAGACACAAACTTCCTTCCCACTCCCAAAGAGGATTGGCATAAGAAAAACGTGGTCCTTTATCTCTAGGGGGCAGGGATGGACCATGAATTCCTTATCAATTAGGAGATATTGAGAACTTCTTTTTTGGCTTCTTCTAATGACAAGTGATAAATAACCCTTTTATTTCCTGAATCCTCCACAGACTCTAACCCAAAACCTTCAATATAAAGGTGCAAGCTATAAGACACTCAGATAGATTAGACATTTTTTACAGTCAAAAAAACCAAAACCCCTCCTTCCTTTTCATTACCTCCAATAATTATCACGTCCAATGATTTCCATATCCTGATTGAAATACCTTCCATCACGATAGAGCAAAAACATAGAAGTCACATTCCACAAAGAAAGAGCGCAATTTAAGCAAAGAGAACCACTACAATTGGCACATTTTTCATGAAGAAAAAAGGCAAAGAGATCCTTTCTCTTTGAAGATGTGGTGTTGGTGCACAAAAGCAAACAGGGATGACAGTCTTCACATTGCTATTCCATTAAATGAGAGTGTTGAATGTCAGCACAGAATACTACCATACAGCTAAAAAAAATATCTTTCCCTTGCTTTCTTTCTAGTCTTTATTGCTAATCTTCATCTTTAATATACTTGAGGAACAAAGCATCATCACAAACTCACTAACCCTCCTTCAACAGCCGTTCCTTCTCCAGGATGAACATTCCTTCCTTATACTTCTGGCTCTCTTCATAAGCCTTCTCCTGCAAAATTCACCAAATACCCACCAATTTTTCTCTTTTGACAAAAAAGAAAATTCCTCAAAAAGATGCATTATTTAAAAAATGGGGCAAATTTGGAACTTACATATCTCCAACCCAGAATCTGCTGGCAAGAGCTACAGTAAATGTCACTGATAATGTGCAATCCACTCCGGAGCGATTTCTCTTCCTGAGGGCCCGTAGTGATATTTACCCTGCAATCATTTCCATTACTTTCCAATTACTAAACAAAATTTTCAAATAAACCCTAAAATTATGAAGAGGAAAGGAAAAAGGAGGGGGTTTGAAATTCTGATTACGCATTGCGGAAGAGAAAAGCTCGGCCGAAACGGCCCTGAAAATCCTTGGAGATGAGGTCGTCGTGGGAGGCGGAGTCCACCTTGCAACACTTGCACTTGAAGATCTTTGATCCGCTCAGTGTCTGAATAAATAACCTCCCCATCCTTCCGATTGCTCAATCGACTCGAAATTTCCGATTTCAATTCCCAAATTCAATCGATTTTTTCATTCAATTCAAATCGACATTCAATCGGCTTCCAATTTGCTGGAATTTGGACTCTGTTTTTTTTCTTTTTTGGCGGTATGTAGTTCCTAAAATGGACTATGTGTTCGGGCCGATGGAGGACTGAGACCTAAAACTTCGCCACGTGTCACCATATCCTGCCGCTGCGGTTTCACCATTCCGTCACGGCGCCGTCACTTCTTCGTTCATCCATTCTTAGGACGTGTTTGGCAACGTCTTATTTTTTCTGTAATTATTCTTGTATTTGTTCCCTAGCGGACTCTCGTTTACTGTCACCGATAGCGAAACTTTTTCGATCGGTTCAAACAATGGTTCACTAGCTGAATGGTTAAACCGTTACTATAATATTTAATAAAATTTTTTATTTAATAGTTTTAGATTCATGAATAGTGATTGAACTCTAAACCACTAGTAGGTTATAATTTTTTAATTTTATTAACAAATTTATCTTTTTTAATTTTTAGCCACAATTTTTAATTGGTACTTCTCTTATTAGTTTCAACTTTATTTTTTTGTCTTTAATAATATTATGTAATTATTATATTTTTATTTTTACATTCATTTATCATAAAAATATATTAGTTTAATAAACCAAACTTGTTAACTAGATGAAAAAACTAAATTTTTTTGTTGTATTTTATTTAAAACTAATATAATTGTTTCTTTATTTAAAACAATATTTCCTTATAGTTATTTAATTTTAAACAATAATCACTAATTATTTTATAACTAAGTAATTATATTAATGGAATCTACTATCTACTACTTGCTACCCATTTTTTGCTATCTATTGGCCATTACCTGTTATCTGCTATTGCTATTCAATATCTACTAAATTTTAACTTTTACACTAAATAGGCCCTTCATTGAAAGGTAATATTTTTTAAATTTAAACTCTAATTTTTTTTAAGAAAATCAAAATTGATATACACTTTTCCCAAATTGTAATATAAAAATCTAAAAATATCCATAATTTCTGTTCTTTTATACTTTTTCTTCATACAACCGGAGGGAGTATCAGTAGTTATTCTCTAAATGACCCAATTCT